TTGACCATTGCATTTATTCGCCTAAAGGACTTTGCAGCTTGGCTGAGGAGCCTGAGGTTTACTGATTCACGCGAGGAAAACGTCATCTGCATATTTTAACAGTGATTGCATATGGGAGAGCAGTAGAGCAGGAATGGTAAAAAGGTAGCTCCTTCAAGGATATCGGATGTTGCGGTGAGGAGCTTTGGCTACCAAACCTGGTGACCTGCGTTCGCTTGGGGAAATAATCCTCTAGCAAGAATACTAGGAAATGTTGAATACCAGACATTTGTAGGTCTTGCAACAACAATTAACGGTTAACACAGCCGAAAGCGTTGCGGTAAACGAGGAAGCAGGCACGTGTGAATTTGGCAACCGATGAGAACACTGAATGCACTAGAAAATCCACCGCATCTTGTGTTGATCTTAAACTTATATACGCAAGCTGAACTAAATCATCCAAATGGGACTGCGCCACCAATTGTTCTAGAAAGATTTTCTCAACAACCTTTAACGCCACCTAGGTGGATGCAATGGGTATTGGTGTTATGATGGTATTCCTTTAACCATCCGCGTTTTATTCCTTACTTTATGCACACGATGTCTAGCTCGGCAGGAGGCCGGGCTTAGGAATCGGCACTCTGGGGGAGGACCACGGGTGACAACCAGTCAGTCCACAAGCCTTGCCTAATTGCAGCTGGATTAACTTCTTGTGCAATAATGCGACGTTGACAGCATGCAGTGAGTCCGTAGGCCCTTGAAACAATGCAGCTGATGAGTCAGCGAACTAATCACTGCTAGTGCGGCAGAAGTTGTGAGTTAATTCTTCTACGCCCACATCAGAATTTGTGCTTTGACGAGTGAATCCAAGGAGCTGTTTCATTCTTTGACAAACCTCACGACAACTATTGTTTCACAGAATTGTTTGGACAAACACATTATTGAGGTGACGAACTTCTTTCTTTACACGAACAGAAAGGGACTACACTAAAATCCAATATTTGCTCTTGGGAGCTCTTTCCTTGAATCTACGAAGCTGCTTGAGATGGGGTGAAGAAAAGCGATCAGCACGGATGAAGATGGTTTCTATCGGGCAGCACAGATCATAACAGAAGTTCAGATAACTTGTCACTTGGTCACAGTATGTTGAAATATCTGTGGGAAATACAAACTGGTCTGTGGAAGCAAGCATTGCTCTCAGCCGCGCACTGTTTGATGGAAGGGATAGTCTCCATTTCTATCTACCATCGCCGCAAGTGACATTCTTGTGCTTTGTCTTACTAGAGATAACAGGGGATAGCATGAATATACAGTCAAATCTGGCCAAAAGCGACCACTTAAGTGACCGCCAAAATGAGGTCGGCTTGGATAGGTTCGTGTATAGGCGACACTACTCACGATCGACTCCGCATGTGCGATACACGTTCAAATCGCGAACTAGATCCGCAAGTCGACGGCCTCTATAATCGATTTAAGATTTTAATTAAGGCAAAAACGAATTAGCGTACCATGTGGAATATAGGAGTAATAAAAATACAAAAATTCCCAGTTTTTGCGTCAACATTTTACTAACTGACCTGCAACTCACCGAAATACAGAAGCATAGAAAAAGTCTTACACACACATTTCTATTGTCATAATCATTTTCCACCAGATGAGAAAAATCAAGTATAGTGGTCTATTGCTTCTCAGTTGAATTGAAGGAGGAGTTTGGTTTTTCCTTATATTCATGATATATTCGAGCATGTTAATGTGTCCGCCATGTATTACTTAGGAGCGCAAAATATCCACAACACCCTATGCGTCTGTGAATGTATACGTTTTCAGGACGTCTGTAGACTTATATTCCTGCTTGTCGTCTGACTCACTATTTTCATCGCCAGCTGCTAAAATCGTTGTGGCATGCAGGTCCCAGTTATTTCTCTTGTGCTACAGCTTTGGAGATTTGAATTAACCATATGGTTGTCAGCCAGTTGGAATTCAAACAATTCCTTTGAAAGGGGACCCAAAGCAAAGCAAGTTAAAGGAGGTACAATTTGCTCATATATCTCAGTTCAGTTTGCATTGGTCTCTCAGAATCTAATTCTGCAGAACAAGGAAACCCCGCCTTAAAAAGCATTTAGAGACACTTGAGTTCACCACCTCTTCCCATTCGGTAGCTCTTCAGAACACGACGTCCAATAAATTAAGTTTCATGTGTTCAGTTCCGGAGATATATTTTGTGGGATTCCATGATCGTAATAAGATGCAGAAGCTGCTTTTTCCTAGACTTCGATTTAAGCGCCTGAATGACACCCTGTTCGAGGGGTTGAACTAACGCAGTGGTATTGGGTGGCAGGAACTGCAATTTGACATTAAGTAGCTGGAATTTGGGATGGCAAGTGGCATTGTCAACAAACAGTATGATGTTGCTCTTGTTCCTGCATTATTCTGTCAAAACTTCGAAGCCATTCTTCAAAAATAGCTGCAGTCATCCATGACTTTCTATTATTATTGGAAACTACCGGTAGTTTTCATGCTGATGTTTCTAAGATTTCATGGGTTGGGTGACTTCTAAAGCACTAATGCCGGTTCTGGTTCCCCCAACAGGTTGGTGCATAGCATAACTGTGATACACCCATTTCTGCTTTTCCCACTTGCGCATTTCTGTTCTTTGCCAAAAGGTGATTTCTCCAACGTCGCTTTGAATAACAGACCAGTTTCATCTACATTAAAAATGTCTTGAGCAGTGTAGCCGAAATATTTTTCGGGTAGCTTTATGGCGCGATGTTCGTGCGCTATATATCCGGTAGGAGACTGGACGGCCAACCAAAAACAACAGGTAGAACAAACAAAAGTAAGCTATGGGAGAAGTTTATTGGACGGAGGAGCGTTAGCTAATGCTAAAAATAGGGCACCCGATAAGAGCTAGCTTGGGAGAATGTCGTCAGCGTCGAGGGCGTAGACGGAGCGTCGTTCGAAGTCGAGTCGCGCGCCAAAGGCGGAGATCGTGTTCGTGTTTCCAACAAACGGGAACAACGTTCCAACAGGCAAACCGAATAGTTCCCTAATACATAAGAAAGCTATAATTTGAATATATTTTAGATTAGTTTACACAGTCATACGGGGAATCTCCAGGTCGTTACACAGCCCCCCTCCTAGAAGGGAAACTGTGGGTGACCCTTCGATCTACGCGAGGACTGTCCGTCGCGGGCCAGCCTTCTGCGAGACCAGGTAGTGAAACCTGATGCAGCTGCTGGGGGAGAACCAGGCGATCGGACCCTAGCGGGCTCCCACCCGTGTCCTCTCTAACGGTGCCAAAAACACAAAATGGGGGAAGTTCGTAAGTGTTAAATGTTCGCGAGTTCGTGAAGGTCAAATGTTCGCTTCAGACTCGGCATCTCCTCCGGTTCATACATGGAAGATAAACGGAAACAAGGCTAGTGACGGTGAAGGCGAGGGCAAAATAAGAGTGACACTTACCGGATGAGGTAGGCGTCAAGCGAAACGTAACTCCTTTCATGTGTTTTCTTCTTTTTTCGGGTTTTCAAAACGTTTTGCGTTCTTTTGGGTTTTCAAAAAGTTTTGTCGGTATTTTAGCGTTTTCAAAAGCTTTTGCCGATTTTTTGGGGTTTTCGTACGTGGTTGGCCAAAAGGGAAAAGGAAAACCATAAGGAAAGTGAAAGAAACACTAATCCCTTAATCGCGCTGGCCAATGAACTCGTCTACCCGACCTAGTCGACTTTTGCGAATCAGAGGAAGGCGTCGTCTTAGACATCCTATCGGATTGCAAAATTGGAGGAACTGCTGAAGAAGTGGCGGTTGGTCCCATGGGAAACGGCGGAGCTGAAGTGGAAGGCTTGGTTGGAACGTGATGCTTGGGTTCAGGGATGTTGGAAGCATGCGAGTCTTCCATCATAGGCTGGGTTGATTCTTCAGAAGACGAGCAAGGGTCTTCATCGAGCTCAGGTTCCACGTGGGCAACCTTGAGACGGTCAATCGTAACGGCTTCTCGTTTACCGTGACGGTCGATGATAAAAACGCTGTCCTTACGCTGCAGGACCTTGAAAGGACCTTCGTAAGGTCGCTCCAGTTGTCTGCGGAGACCATCGAGACGGAGAAAAACGAACGGACAATGCTGCAGGTCTTGTGGAATAAAAGATTTACGTTGTTGTTCTCTAACGTCGGGAAGCTTGTACTGACGCATGCTCGTGGCTAGCTGACGTGCATAATTTGCGTCGTAACGGCTAATACTAGGACTAACGGAGAAGAAATCGCTAGGTAAACGCAGTGGTTGCCCCTATACTAACTCAGCGCTAGACGTACGCAGATCGGACTTTAGGGCTGATCCGATCCCAAGGAGGATCATAGGCAGTACTTCAGTCCAACTCGGCGCATTGGCGGCGCTAAGTGAGGCTTTCAACTGTCGGTGGAAACGTTCCACAATACCGTTCGCTTGTGGATGATAGGCGGTCTTGAGAATGCGTTGGAATCCAATGAGTTTAAGGAGGTCGTTAAAGGTCGTTGATTCGAATTGCGGACCGCAGTCTGTAGTAACTGTGGCTGGACAGCCGTGTGAAGCGACCCAACGCTCGACGAAAGCGCGCGTTACGGTTTCCGCAGCTAGTTCAGGGATGGGAACGGCTTCGGGCCAACGGGTGCAACGATCGATCATGGTCAAAATGTAGACCATTACTTTGGACGGGGCCAGAGGTCCCACTATGTCGAGATGGACATGGGCAAATCGCGCTGAAACGGACAGAAAGCGACCCAGCGGAGCGGACACGTGCCGCTGAATCTTGGCTTGCTGGCAGGTGAGACAGCTGCGTGTCCAATGCGTAAGGTCGCGTTGCATCCCCGGCCAAACGTATCTCTCAGAGATAAGCTTAGCAATAGCTTTAATGCCTGGGTGGGCAATATTATGGAGGGTGTCGAAAACGATACGGCGAAAAGTTTCTGGAACGACGGGTCTGTAACGCTCCAAGGCGTTTGGAAAGTTAAGCTACGCGTTCCCCACCGGAAAATTCAACAAAAGACCAGATCCGGACCTGAGAAAACGGTGCTATTTGTACAAATTCATCGTACCAAAGTAGAAATTACCTTAACGGTTTTCCAAACACAAAAGTTTACCAACAGATTTCAATCAGTTCCACAAAAGGTCCGTAAGCCAAGGTGCACACGAAACAAATGGACATAGAGGTGAGACCGAAGTTATGATAAGGCAATTGAGCCAATCGTAAGCGTCCGCCAACGGGAACGGGCTGAGGACAGACAGACCTGCCACACTGGATACATGAGTTGTGGGAACACAAAATCGCTTATGTCAAGAGAACAATGACAGGTCCATGGGGGCGGGGTGAAGTTAAGATGAGTCACCGGAGTCACTCGCTAAGAGCATCGGGGCAGAGAACAAAGGAATGGAAAGTAAGGGAGTTAGCAAACATAATCGATCCAGACGGCCGAGCAATGTAGAACTGGGCATTCAACATGGGAGAGACTGGGGTGGTCAAAGTTCTTTCTACACTGCCCACCAAAATCCGATCCGGATTTTCCATTGAAGATGTCGGATGTTTCTGCTCTGGAACGCCCTACGCCGGCTCCATCCACGCTAGGGGGCCAAAGGACTTACACCGGTACGCCAGAGGCCCCCACTTCGGCTATTGGACTCACAGCGGTCCTCCCTGGTGCGACAGGCCGAAACCCGTCTCCCGCCTGCGGAGAGCCAATAGCCGGAACTACATCCCCACTCGTGTCGCTCCCTTCTAGCAAACACAACTTTCGTATATCCCTTGTGATCAGCCCATTCTTGGTCCTAACAACTGCAGTCCTGACAAGCCCGTCTTCAGAACCTATACAGTGGTCAACAATCCCCATGGGCCACGTGCCACGTGTACCGGTTTCGGAAGAGACCAAAACTACATCCCCAGGTCTGAAGTTTCGAATCCTTCGCAGCCACTTTTGTCTGGAGTGTAACAAGGGCAAGTACTCTGCGACCCATCTTTTCCAAAACAACGCTGTCAGGTAATTGACTTGCCGCCAACAGCGTCTATATTCTTCGGTTAGAGAAGCCGCAAGGAAATGCGATGCATTAGGTCGCAGTATCAGTAAATCGTTGGGGGTAAGGGCCATACGGTCGTTTGGGTCTGATGTCAAAGGTACTAACGGCCTGCTGTTGATGATGCGCTCCGCTTCAACAAACAGAGTACTGAGCGCTTCCTCATTAAGCGTCTGTTGTGTCGCAATCGATAACAGCACCCTCCTAACAGACCTGATCATGCGCTCCCATATACCCCCCCTATGGCTGGACATTGGAGGGTTGTAGTGCCATTGGACTCCCATGCTAAGGAGTCTATCATTGATTCTTGCTTGGGACCACCCCTTGACAGCAGTACGCAACTCTGATACGACGCCTACGAAGTTGCTGCCGTTGTCGCTGAATATTTCGACCGGAGTCCCTCTACGGGAGACAAATCGCATCAAGGCCATAATGAACGAGTCGGTAGTTAAGGTATGGGAAATCTCAAGATGTACGGCTCTCGCTTGTAGACAGGTAAATAGACACCCGTACCGCTTTTCCTGCTTTCGCCCGTGTTTAACAAGAAATGGGCCAAAGTAATCCACGCCGACCGATTTGAATGGGTGCCACCCACGTTCCACCCGAGCTAACGGCAATGGCGCCATCAGCTGCTCACCGGTGGTAGCAAGCCGTTTCTTGCATACCCAACAAGCCCCTATCAACCGTTTCACTGCCGACATCCCGCGAACGATCCAATATTTACGGCGCAAGCTCGCCAGGACCTGAGAAACTCCCGAGTGACCTTCCATCGAATGATAAAATCGGATCAAAAGTTCAGTAACAGCGTGTTTAGGTGGCAGGATAACCGGGAACTTGAATGCAGCGTCGTACTCCGAATACGCCAGCCGGCCACCAACACAAAGGAGGCCACCGCGCAGTACGGGGTTGAGACGGGCCAAAGGACCTCGCCGTATCTCCATCTTAGACGCTGTTGGGTCTGCATTCGCCTTTTCAAGCCGTTCCAACTCTGTTCCATAAGCTTCGAGTTGCGCAAGCCGGATGACATCACACTCTGCTCGGTTGAGTTCAGACAGGGTAATTAGTCTATTGGGTTGCGCGGCCCCAGCAGCTCCCTGTCTGCGGACGTAAAGCTGCTGCTTGAATCGTGATAACCACACCACCGCTTTTAGCAACTTAGTCCAGTCGGAATATCTGCTGATAAGGAGCGATAATGGTGTTGCACTTGATGTCGCACAAACCTGTGCGGTGGAACGTTTCAATTCTAAGTTGGCTGGCTCAGAACTCGGACAAAACTCAGGCCACTCATCCTCGACACTCAGTAGGAATTCTGGGCCAAGAAACCAGCGCTTCAAGGATGTTACGGATGTAGTGCCTCTAGACAGCAGGTCTGCCGGATTGCATTCTGATTTGATATGCTTCCACTGACTGGGCTCAGTTAATTCCTGTATGACCGACAGTCGGTTGGCAATAAAGGTGCTGAATCTTTTAGATGAGTCATTTATGTAGTACAAAACCGTCGTAGAGTCAGTCCAAAACACAACTTTATCGAAACTCATGTGAGCTCCTTCAGTTAAATCTTCATATAACCTTGTCCCCAACATGGCTGCCGATAGCTCCAGTCGCGGTATCGACACTGATTTCAGAGGGGCTACTCTCGACTTCGCGTATAACAGAGAGCAATATGATGTGTCTTCAGCATGAAACCTAGCATAAGCAACTGCGCCAAACCCAGCTTCAGAAGCATCGCAAAAGATGTGTAGTTGCGGCCGCTCATTTGTCTCTCCAGGCTTACGAATGCACCGAGGAATCTTTAGGATGTCTATCGCCTTCACCTCACGTAGCCAGGAAGTCCAAATGTCACGGCCATCACCAGTGACTGGGTCATCCCAATGTAGTTTCTCTCGACATAGTCTTTGTAACAATAACTTTGCGGGCATAATTAAGGGTGCGATCAGACCCAAAGGGTCATAGACAGAAGACACAGCAGACAATATGCCCCTTCTCGTAATTGGCCTCTCGGGTATGGTGAACTGATAAAGAAAATTGTCCTCACGGGAGTCCCAGGCAATTCCCAAAGTTCTCCTAACCACCCCAGGGACTTCAGCTATCGGTTTGATCGACTCAGCTATCTCAGCTTGCGGAACCGCACGATACACCTCTTCATGACTGCAGACCCATTTGCACAGCTTAAATCCACCCCTACTTAACATCTCTCTGAGCCGTGCCACAAATTGCATTGCTTCCTTCACGTTCGGTAGCGATATCAAGAGGTCGTCAACGTAGAAGTTATTGTGAACAGCTTCCGCCACGATTTCACTGTAATGAGGTCTCCAATCATCAGCTGTTCGACACAAGGCGAAATTGGCACAAAACGGTGACGAGGTGGCACCGAATGGATGCGCCGTCATTTGATATTCAACCACTTCTGAACCAATCGAGTCATCCTTCCACCAAAGAAACCGTAACGCCCCCCTGTCGCGTAGAGGCACCTTCACCTGCATAAACATGTCTTCAATGTCAGCAGAAACTGCCACCCGTTCAATCCTGAAACGCATAAGAATACCAATTAGGTTAGCCGTAGTATCTGGACCTTGAAAGAGTTGGTCATTCAGAGAAAGACCCTTGTACTTTGCTGCACAATCAAACACCACTCTGAGTTTGTCAGGTTTCTTCGGATTGATCACTGCGTGATGCGGTAAATACCACCTTGGTTTGTAGTCTGGTCGCAGCTGATCGCACGGTACAGGAACTGCGTAGCCTTTCTCCGCATTCTTCCTTAAAACCGAGATATACCGTTCTCGTAATGACGGATCACTTGACAACCGTTTACTCAAATGGTCTAACCTACGCCGAGCTGCTTCGTAATTGTTAGGAACATTGGCATTGTGATTTCTCCACGGCAGGGCTATTTCGTAATGACCATCAACGAGGCGTACGGAACTTTCGACAATACACAGGGCTGTTTTATCCTCCCCGGATAATGACCGACTACTCGAACCAACACGTTCAAATCCGCTATCAAACAAGACTTTGAGTTGCCCTTCAAGCGGAATATCATCAAAATGCACAAAATTCACGGAGGCACACTGCCGGGTACTCCGACCAACGGGACCAAGTAGGGTCCAACCGAGTAGGGTTTTTACAGCGAATGGGCGTTTTCGTCCCGCGTCTCGTCGTTCAAACTGCCAGTGAGCTTCTGGAACGTCGGCCCCCAGTAGTATCCTGACCCTGGGGTCACTCAAATCATCGAATTTGACGTCCATCAAATGTGGCCACTTCTCAGCTAATTGACTGACAGGAGCTGTCACGGGTTGTAATGGCAGGTGACTCAAGCAATATGCATGATCTACAAGCACACTATCGGAACCGTTCAGAGAAAACAATTGGAACCTAGCCAGCCCCACGTTTAATGAGGTACATGCATTTACCGTTTGCATTTTCAAAGAAGCAGGTTCGATCTCTACTCCAGCTTCCCGCAGGATATCTTCCTGTACCAAGCTTATATCGGAACCGCTATCGATCAAAGCATAGGTCTCGATAGATCGCAAGGGGCCTACCAAACGCACGGGTACCACTCCGAGCGAGACCTTACCGGGAGTGCTGCCAGTATTGTGACAGTGGCTCAAATTTTCCTCGGGCGTCTTCGGTATTGACTCGTTATGTAACAGTGAGTGATGTCGCTTCTTGCATGCGGCCAAGCTGCAACCCTTGCTGACTCGGCAGCTGGCGGCACGATGACCAATCTCTAAACAATTATAACAGCCGCCCTTGTCTCGAACCAGATCCCAGCGCCTAGATACATCCAGGCCTGCAAACATAGCGCATGATGATGTACTGTGATGGTCACCGCAAGCCAGACACACTGATTCCTTTGGGGTATCTAATGTAGTATATAGGGCGAAGTTACGACCGCTTCCCTTATCTTGAAATACTCGTCGCTGCCGAGCCTCATTCAGCTGTCGTGGTGCGACTGGTGTTGCTATCTGCCCGAACCTACTACGGGCAATACGAGCTTCCGTGGCAACGAAATCGGCCAAGTCCTTAAAAACAACGTCCCGCCCGTCTTGAACAATTGAATCGGCTGTTCTTGCCCATCTGGTTTGCAGTGCATTTGGGAGAACACGGACTATTCGCTCAATAGTAGCCACGGAGTCTAAATCGGCAGTAAAGTTCATCTGAGACAAGGCCACATAACAATTGTCTAGTTTTATGGAGAGACGCGACAAAGCGTCATGATCCCCATCAAGCGGTCTCAACCCAGTAAGCAGACCTTCGATTAGTGATCGGGCAACAACGTGACACTGGCCAAACAGTTCACGGAGTATGGATCTAGCCTTGTGATACGCCTGTTCAGGAGGCAGCATTACACACTCGCTTATAGCCTCTTTTGCACGACCTTTGCAATAATAAACTAAATAGAGCAACCGCTGCCCACCGTCACTCACCCGGGTCTCGACAAAGTATTCGAACTGCTTAATGAACCTCCAGTAAGCTGTCGGATTACCATCAAAAAATTCCAACTCAACCTTAGGCAAATCTAATGACGTACGACAAGCTACCGGTAACGGTTGGTGATATGACATGGGCGTAATTATCGGTGGCACGGTCTCTTGACAATCATTCAAAAACTGATTCATGCGATCCACTCCGACATCAGGTACGTAATTGGAAACAGTTAGGTGATCAGGGCAATCAACATTCTCTTCCATTTCTAGTCGTAACCTAGCCATCTCTAACTCTGTCTCAGCTTGCTGTCTCTTAAGTTCTGCTAGCCGTAAAGCTACACGCGCATTACTCTTACGACTACTGTGCGAACCAGAGCAAGAAACAGTGTCACCAACGGGGACAAATTTTGAACTTGCCGGGATTCCTTCATGTCTTCATTGGCATCGACGGAGGGCTTCTTATTCTTAGGCATTGTGCGATCCGAGAGAGAAGTTGTCCAAGGCGAAGAGAAGTTGCAAATTCAGGGACCGTTAAGCACTGTAACGCTCCAAGGCGTTTGGAAAGTTAAGCTACGCGTTCCCCACCGGAAAATTCAACAAAAGACCAGATCCGGACCTGAGAAAACGGTGCTATTTGTACAAATTCATCGTACCAAAGTAGAAATTACCTTAACGGTTTTCCAAACACAAAAGTTTACCAACAGATTTCAATCAGTTCCACAAAAGGTCCGTAAGCCAAGGTGCACACGAAACAAATGGACATAGAGGTGAGACCGAAGTTATGATAAGGCAATTGAGCCAATCGTAAGCGTCCGCCAACGGGAACGGGCTGAGGACAGACAGACCTGCCACACTGGATACATGAGTTGTGGGAACACAAAATCGCTTATGTCAAGAGAACAATGACAGGTCCATGGGGGCGGGGTGAAGTTAAGATGAGTCACCGGAGTCACTCGCTAAGAGCATCGGGGCAGAGAACAAAGGAATGGAAAGTAAGGGAGTTAGCAAACATAATCGATCCAGACGGCCGAGCAATGTAGAACTGGGCATTCAACATGGGAGAGACTGGGGTGGTCAAAGTTCTTTCTACAGGGTCGAGGTCGTCCGGTAGATGTGTCGCATAAACTGGTACCACGAGATGACGGCAAAGGGTGCGGGGATATCTTCAAAGAAGAATCGCGGAGTTCCGAAAAACTTTGGTCGTTTGATTGCGCGGCGGCCATAGCAGACAAATCGATTGCCTGCCCGGCAGGGCCAATCGCAGATACTCTTGAAAGAACATCAGCGACGACGTTTTGTTGACCAGAAATGTGTCCGATATCAGTCGAGAATTGGGCAATGAAATCCAGCTGACGAATCTCACGTGGTGAGTGTCGAGCTGATTTATTTCGGAAAGCGCAGGTAAGCGACTTGTAATCAGTGAAGATAATGAAGGTGTTACCTTCGAGGACGTGTCGGAAATGTCCAACGGTAGAGTAAACACCCAGCAGTTTGCGACTGAACGTGCTGTACTTGACTTTGGCAGGCTGTAGACGTCTAGAGAAGAATGCAAGAGGTTTCCAGCCCCCAGCTGTATGTTGCTGAAGGACGGCGCCAATGGCGGTGTCTGATGCGTCAACAGCGACACTGAGCGGAGCATTCGGATCGACATGATGAAGCATAACGGCTTTGGCTAAGGCTTTTCTGCTGGCTTTAAAGGCTTCAGCAGCAGCGGCAGTCAGTTCCACCTGACCGTTTTTACGCTCACGAAGTAGGATGGTTAGTGGACTTAACAAATTGGCACAGTGTGGAAGAAAATGTCGATAGTAGTTGAGCATGCCGTTAAAACGGCGAATAGCGGTTAACGTAGTCGGGACCGGAAAGTCTCTGATGGCGCGGACTCTATCGTCTAGAGGCCGTATACCATACTGATCAATATGGTGGCCAAGGAATTCGACGGAAGGCTGCTGAAATATGCATTTGTCAGGGTTGACAGTGATGCTATTAGCGGCCAGCCTATCGAAAAGTATTTTGAGATGTTCTGCGTGCTGTTCTTTAGAAGCGCTGGCAACTAGGATATCGTCGATGTATGCATAGACGAAATTTAGACCTCTAGTGACTGAATCGATGAGTCGTTGAAAAGTCTGGGCTGCGTTACGAAGACCGAACGGCATACGCAAAAATTCGAACAGCCCAAACGGCGTGATTACGGCAGTCTTCGGTATGTCTTCCTCAGCGACTGGAATCTGGTGATACGCGCAAACCGTATGGACTTTCGAGAACACACGGGTGCCGCGCAGGCTTGCCGTGATGTCCTGAATGTGAGGAATCGGATATCGGTCGGGAACAGTAACGATATTGAGCGCGCGGTAATCACCACATGGACGCCAGTCTCCTGACTTTTTGGGCACCATGTGGAGCGGCGACGCCCAGGGACTTTTAGACGGGCGAACGATGCCTAGTTCAAGCATATGCTCGAATTCCGCGCGAGCAATTTTTAGCTTGTCAGGGGTCATTCTCCTGACTTTGGCGAAAACAGGCGGACCTTTGGTAACGATATGATGTTTCGCAGCATCAGTGGCAGATGGAAAGGGTGCCATTGCACGAAAGACTTGCGGAAATTTGGTATTAAGCATCTGACCGATAGGTGAGCTTGACTGGTTGGCATATACAGGACTGATTGACTCAATGTCGGTCAAAGTACCTATAACTGCCAGATTTGTTTGACGATCGATCAGACGGCGTTGCTTCGCGTCAACAAGCAAATCGAAGTGCTGCAGAAAGTCAAGGCCAAGAATTGGCGTCTGGACATCTGCGACGAGAAAGATCCATTTAAATGAACGTCGTAGGTTTAAATTAAGCGTGCGCGAGCGTTGACCATACACGCGAATGGTGGTGCCGTTTGCTGCGCGCAATGAACTAGTCGCCTCTTTGATAACATCATTAGAATCACGGGGGATAACGCTGACTTCTGCGCCGGTGTCAACGAGATAGCGTACTCCCGTACTGTGATCGGTGACAAAGAAAAGGCGACTGGGGCAGCCAGCAACGTCCGTCGCCCCTACGTGCTGGCTGGCCCGTTTCCCCGCGTGTTGCACTTAAAGGAACAAGGCGGGCGACACGATCTGGCCTGATGACCAAATCGCTCGTTGTACCAGCAAAGCTTGACCTAGGGGGAGATTTCGAACGGGATCTAGGAGGACTGCGAATACTGGAACCATTTCGACGGTTGGATCCGGACTGTGTTAGTTTCTCTAGTCGGTTGGCAAGTGCGGCTACTTGCGCTCTTAGTTCTGTTACCTCTGTACTGGAAGTAGACTGAACCTGAGATATTTGGGCGTTGGATTCCCAAATACGGTCGGCAATGTCAGCGAGCTGAGAAAGAGGTGCATCGTTTGCATACAGGGGGGGTTGCGAATGTCACGTGGCAGGCGACGAAGCCACATCTCTTTAAGGAATGAGTCACCAACAAAGAGAGGCTTAGATATAGCCTGCATCTTGTGGAGCAAATGAGAAGGCTTTTGATCACTTAGTTCGGTTTCGTTAAGAAGCTGCGTAACGCGAGCATGGTCTAATATGCCGAATCGCTTTAAGCCTACGGTCTTAAGCTCATCGTAACTTTTCTGATATTCGGGAAGTTCCAAGATGTCATCGAGGTCATCGACGACTTGCGCTGGAAGCGCTGCAACAACGCAGTGAAATTTGACGCTGTCAGAGTTAACGCCATGTAACGAAAAAGTGGATTCTAGCTGATTAAACCAGGCCTTAGGGTTAGTCTCACGGAAAGGTGGGATAGGGAAACGGAACGCACTAACCTGATCGTCAGAAGTTGAGTGAATGACCTTCATGGTGAAAAATTACGGAGCGTGTGAAAGTGAATGCAAGTAGTAAAAAGTAAAAGTAGAAGGGTAGATAGAATAAGTTACCGGATCTGAAAAGAAATATTAGTACCGAACTCACCAAAAATAGTTTTTCTTTTCGGGGTCACCAATTATAGCGCGATGATCGTGCGCTATATATCCGGTAGGAGACTAGACGGCCAACCAAAAACAACAGGTACAACAAACAAAAGTAAGCTATGGGAGAAGTTTATTGGACGGGAGGAGCGTTAGCTAATGCTAAAAATAGGGCACCCGGAGAGAGCTAGGTTGGGAGAATGTCGTTAGCGTCGAGTGCGTTGACAGAGCGTCGTTCGAAGTCGAGTCGCGCGCCAAAAGCGGAGATCGTGTTCCTGTTTCCAACAAACGGGAACAACGTTTCAACAGGCAAACCGAATAGTTCCCTAATACATAAGAAAGCTATAATTTGAATATATTTTAGATTAGTTTACACAGTCTTACGGGGGAATCTCCAGGTCACTACAGCTTTTTTGTCCTGTGGGCGGATGTAGCACACATATATGAGTCACAGCTTTCGCCCGATTTCTGACGAAACACAAAATTGTATCTAACGATGAAAGTCTGCAGCCGACCGTTTGATGCTTCGAAGTCTGGGTTTTGCAATTCTTTTGCGAAACGCAATGCTCGTTCTTAAAGCATGGGTCCATATAATGGGATTTTTTCGCCAGTGCTGACTGGAACCATTTCCAGCAAAGTGCGTTTATGTCTTCGTCACCCGTTTCTCTACCACTATTTCTTTTCAGTCTTTGTGCGTTGTTCTCACTCATTCAAATAATCGACTTTCTTCTTTGAAGTGAGAAGGATCTGTGTCTTTCCAACTCCGAAATGTTCTGCCAATTTTCGTGAACATTTTCCTTCTTGACTTAGTCGAATCACTGATATTCTTTTTTCACGGGTTAATGTATTTGGCTTTGCTGATTTGGAACTAACCATTTTGTCATTCGTAAGAATCTTCTAAAAGATCTACAAAAACGAACGTAAATATTGAGTAAGAACGTACCTCAACAGTACCCTCTCAATGCTGATACTTGGCTGGTTACGCAGTAAACAAACACACACAGCAAGTGATAGTCACAGTACTTGCGACTGTACAACAGTATCAGGAAACCCAGAGTGCGAGAGGGGATTCTCACGGCTCTTTGGTTGGTTAACTTGGCTCTATCCGATTGGTTCACTGCACAGCCCATAGAGGAGTACATGTTTTAGTGACATAGGATGATATACAGCGGGTGGGGGTAATGTGTCACTGAACACGTCCGTTGTGAAGGCAGTGTGACCCCTGGGGAGAGAATAAACCAGTGGTATCGGAGAGTTACGCAACCTGAAATGGTCAATTGCGCCAGCAAGGAATCGAATAAGGAGACACAGAATGCGTGAACATGGGCGATAATTAGTGCAGGGCAAATGAGTGGTTTCCAGGGCAATTATGGTAGCTTGGAACGAAATCTAAGCTATCTGTGCGATACGTTGGCAGACATTCATGACACCTCTACTCGTAATTTTGGCCACTTTTGCTAGTGGTGATCGCCTTGAGCAGGTGCTAAAACGTCTTGGAGCCACAAAAGCGTGGTCGCGGTTGCGTTAGACAGGTGGACGCCACAGACAGGTTAAGACCAATGAGAAAATAAAAGAAAATCGTGCGGGATATTTTTGACCGGTCGCCATAGCAGGTTACACTGTAGCAGGATCTTAACTGCCAATTACTGCCCGATCGCAGACCAAAAATTTATTTTAAATTATTGACAAATGAAAAGCCATGATTGTCTCTCTTTGATGGCGCACGTAGGAACTTGGGTTAAAACTCCCGAATAACGGTTAACTATGAACTGCGTGTATGATAAAGAAGATTGAACAGCTTCGTGAAATCAGTCGACTTGGCCCGCCTGTCACAGGCTGAGCTTCA